TGTAGCTCCAGCCCCCCTCTACTGGCAGGGGGTTGTTCCTGGACCTGTAGCTGCAGCCCCCCACCTCTACTGGCAGGGGTTGGTGCTGGGCATGTAACTGTAGCCCCCCCTCCCTCTACTGGCAGAGGGTTGTTGCTGGACCTGTAGCTGAAGCCCTATTTCTCTCTACTGGGAGGGGGTTGGTGCTGCATGTGTAGCTCCAACCCCACTCTACTGGCAGGAAGGGTTAGTGCTGGACCTGTAGCTACAGCCCCCTCTACTGGCACGGGGTTGGTGCTAGACCTGTAGCTACAGCCCCTCTACTGGTAGGGGGTTGGTGCTGGACCTGTTGCTCCAGCCTCCTCTACTGGCAGGGGGGGGGGGAGGGTAGTGCTGGATCTGTAGCTCCAGCCCCTCTCTACTGGCAGGAGGGGGGGGGAGGTTAGTGCTGGATCTGTAGCTCCAGCCCCGCTCTACTGGCAGGGGGTTGGTGCTGGACCTTTTGCTCCTGCCCCGCTCTACTGGCAGGGGGTTGGTGCTGGACCTGTAGCTCCAGCCCCCCCCTCTACTGGCAGGGGGTTGGTGCTGGACCTGTAGCTCCAGCCCCCCTCTACTGGCAGGGGGTTGGTGCTGGACCTGTAGCTCCAGCCCCTCTCTACTGGCACGGGAATGGTGCTGGACCTGTAGCTCCAGCCCCCCCTCTACTGGCAGCGGGTTGGTGCTGGACCTGTAGCTCCAGCCCCCCTCTACTGGCAGGGGGTTAGTGCTGAATCTGTAGCTCCAGCGCCGCTCTACTGGCAGGGGGTTGGTGCTGGACCTTTTGCTCCTGCCCCGCTCTACTGGCAGGGGGTTGGTGCTGGACCTGTAGCTCCAGCCCCCCCTCTACTGGCAGGGGGTTGGTGCTGGACCTGTAGCTCCAGCCCCCCTCTACTGTCAGGGGGTTTATGCTGGACCTGTAGCTGCATCCCTTTCTACTGGCAGGGGGGGTTGTTGCTGGACCTGTAGTTGCAGCCCCCCCCCCTTTACTGGCAGGGTGTTGGTGCTGGACCTGTAGCTACAGCCTCCCCTCTACTGGGAGGGGGGTTGTTGCTAGACCTGTAGCTGCAGCCCCCCACCTCTACTGGCAGGTGGTTGGTGCTGGACCTGTATCTGAAGCCCCCCTCTACTGGCAGTGGGTTCGAGCTGGACCTGTAGCTCCAGCCCACCTCTACTGTCAGCGGGTTGGTGCTAGACCTGTAGCTCCAGCCCTTTCTCTCTCTACTGGGAGGGGGTTGGTGCTGCGTGTGTAGCTCCAACCTCACTTTACTGGCAGGGGTTTGGTGCTAGACCTGTAGCTCCAGCCCCCTGTACTGCTAGGGGGTTGGTGCTGGACCTGTAGCTCCAGCCCCCTCTACTGGTGAGGGGTTAGTGCTGGACCTGTAGTTCAAGCCATCCTCTACTGGCAGGGGGTTGGTGCAGGACCTGTAGCTCCGGCCCCCCCCCCCCTCTCTACTGACAGAGGGTTTGTGCTGGACCTGTAGCTCCGGCCCCCACCCTCTACTGGCAGGGGGTTGGTGCTGGACCTGTAGCTACAGCCCCGCTCTGCTGGCAGGGGGTTGGTGCTGGACCTGTAGCTCCTGCCCCGCATTACTGGGAAGGGGTTGGTGCTGGTCCTGTAGCTTTAGCCCCTCTCTACTAGCAGGGGGTTGGTGTTGGACCTGTAGCTCCAGCCCCCCTCTACAGGCAGGGGGTTGGTGCTGGACCTGTAGCTCCAGCCCCCCTCTACAGGCAGGGGGTTAGTGCTGGACCTGTACCTGTACTGTGCCGGTCGGCCGAGCGGACAGCACACTGGGCTTGTGATCCTGTGGCCCTGGGTTCGATCCCAGGCGCCGGCGAGAAACCATGGGCAGAGTTTCTTTCACCCTATGCCCCTGTTACCTAGCAGTAAAATAGGTACCTGGGTGTTAGTCAGCTGTCACGGGCTGCTTCCTGGGGGTGGATGCCTCGTCGAGGACCGGGCCGCGGGACACTAAAGCCCCGAAATCATCTCAACATAACCTCAAGATACCCCAGCCCCCCCCTCTACTGGCAGGGGGTTGGTGCTGGACCTGTAGCTCCAGCCCCCCCTCTACTGGCAGGGGGTTGGTGCTGGACCTGTAGCTCCAGCCCCCCCTCTACTGGCAGGGGGGTTTTGCTGGACCTGTAGCTGCAGGAAGGGGGTTGTTGTTGGACCTGTAGTTGCAGCCCCCCCCCCCCTCCCACCTCTACTGGCAGGGGGTTTGTGCTGGGCCTGTAGCTGCAGCCTCCTCTCTACTGGCAGGGTGTTGTTGCTGGACCTGTAGCTCCAGCCCCCCCTCTACTGGCAGGGTTTTTTTGCTGGACCTGTAGCTGCAGGAAGGGGGTTGTTGTTGGACCTGTAGTTGCAGCCCCCCCCTCCCACCTCTACTGGCAGGGGGTTGGTGCTGGACCTGTAGCTCCAGCCCCCTCTACTGGTGAGGGGTTAGTGCTGGACCTGTAGTTCCAGCCCACCTCTACTGGCAGGGGGTTGGTGCTGGGCCTGTAGCTGCAGCCTCCGCTCTACTGGCAGTGGGTTGCTGCTGGACCTGTAGCTCCAGCCCCGCATTACTGGGAAGGGGTTGGTGCTGGTCTTGTAGCTTTAGCCACTCTCTACTTGCAGGGGGTTGGTGCTGGACCTGTACCTGCAGCCTCTCCTCTACTGGTAGGGGGTTGGTGTTGGACCTGTAGCTGCAGCCCACCTCTACTGGCAGGGGGTTGGGGCTGGAACTGTAGCTCCAGCCCCCCCCCCTCTACTGGCAGGGGGTTGGTGCCGGACCTGTAGTTGCAGCCTCTCCTCTACTGGCAGGGGGTTGGTGTTGGACCTGTAGCTGTAGCCCCCCCCCCTTCTACTGGCAGGGGGTTGGTGCTGGACCTGTAGCTCCAGCCTCATTTACTGGCAGGGGGTTGGTGCTGGACCTGTAGCTCCACCCCCCCCCCTTCTACTGGCAGGGGGTTGGTGCTGGACCTTTAGCAGCAGCCCCCCCCCTCTACTGGCAGCGGGGTTGTTGCTGGACCTGTAGCTGCAGTCCCCCACCTCTACTGGAAGGGGGTTGGTGCTGGACCTGTAGCTGCAGCCCCTCCCCCCTCTACTGGCAGGGGGTTGGTGCTGGACCTGTAGCTGCAGCCTCTCCTCTACTGGCAGGGGGTTGGTGCTGAACCTGTAGCTGTAGCCCCCCCCCCTCTAGTGGCAGGGGGTGGGTGTTGGACCTGTAGCTGCAGTCCCCCCTCTACTGGCAGGGGGTTGTTGCTGGACCTGTAGCTCAAGCACACCTCTACTGGCAGGGGGTTGTTGCTGGACCTGTAGCTCCAGCCCACCTCTACTGGCAGGGGGTTGGTGCTGGACCTGTAGCTGTAGCCCCCCCCCTCTACTGGCAGGGGGTTGGTGTTGTACCTGTAGCTCCAGCCCCTCTCTACTGGCAGGGGGTTGGTGTTGGACCTGTAGCTGCAGCCCACCTCTACTGGCAGGGGGTTGGTGCTGGACCTGTAGCTTCAGCCCCTCTCTACTGTCAAGTGGTTGGAGCTGGACCTGTAGCTGCAGCCGCCCCCCCCCCTCTTTACTGGCAGGGGGTTGGTGCTGGACCTGTAGCTGTAGCCCCCCCTCTACTGGCAGGGGGTTGGTGTTGAACCTGTAGTTGCAGCCCCCTCTCTACTGGCAGGGGGTTGGTGCGGGACCTGTAGCTCCAGCCCCCTCTACTGGCAGGGGGGGGGATTAGTGCTGGACCTGTAGCTCCAGCCCCCCCCTTTACTGGCAGGGGGTTGGTGCTGAACCTGTAGCTCCAACCCCCTCTACTGGCAGGGGGTTGGTGCTGGACTTGTAGCTGTAGCCCCCCCCCCCTCTACTGGCAAGGGGTTGGTGTTGTACCTGTAGCTCCAGCCCCCCTGTACTGCCAGGGGGTTGGTGCTGGACCTGTTGTTCCAGCCCTCTCTACTGGCAGGGGGGGGGATTAGTGCTGGACCTGTAGCTCCAGCCCCCCCCCCCCCTTTACTGGCAGGGGGGGGGGATTAGTGCTGGACCTGTAGCTCCAGCCCCCCCCCCCTTTACTGGCAGGGGGTTGGTGCTCAACCTGTAGCTCCAGCCCCCTCTACTGGCAGGGGGTTTGCGCTGGACCTGTAGCTGTAGCCCCCCCCCCCCTCTATTGGCAGGGGGTTGGTGCTGGACCTGTAGCTCCAGCCCCCTCTACTGGCAGGGGGTTTGGTGCTGGACCTGTAGCTCCAGCCCCCCTGTACTGCCAGGGGGTTGGTGCTGGACCTGTTGCTCCCGCCCTCTCTACTGGCAGGGGGTTGGTGCTGGACCTGTAGCTCCAGCCCCCACTACTGGCAGGGGGTTGGTGCTGGACCTGTAGCTCCAGCTCCCCTTCTACTAGCAGGGAGTTTGTGCTGGACTTGTAGCTCTAGCCTCCCCTCCCCTTCATCTACTGGCACGGGGTTAGTGCTGGATCTGTAGCTCCAGCCCTCCTCTACTGGCAGGGGGTTAGTGCTAGATCTGTAGCTTCAGCCTTCCTCTACTGGAAGGGGGGTTGGTGCTGGACCTGTAGCTCCAGCCCCCCTCTACTGGCTTGCTCGTGCTGGCCTTGTTTGGGAGTTTGATGGCAGTTTCAAGTTTTCAGTGTCTTCATACTCGGCAGTGGTCTGTTTTGGTTCACTGTCTTCCTGGATGCTTTCCCGGTAGGTTGGTGGAGTGTCACCTGCTCTCTGCACCTCTGTGATGGGAGCCAGGATCCTGGGTTCAATAGAGGATCACGGGTTCAATCACGTTGCAGGACAGAAATGGTTCACATGTTTCCTTTCACCTGTTGCCTCATGGGGTTCACCTACCAGTAAATATTTATCCAGGGGTTAGGCAACTTTTGTGGATTGTATGTTAAGGAAAGTCAGTAGTTGACCTTGGGGAACCCCAATAAACCTAAGAACAGGCTTCCTCTCCTCAAAACGCAACTCAATATCTTGTGACATGACCTATGAGAGAAAATAAAAAACTTACTGTTAATTGCTTCTGGGGGATCTGTCCAGTGATTTCTTGAACTTTATTCATGATGCTGGAGGCTGAGTCTCCCAGGTGTATGGGGTTAGCTGTGGCACCTGTCTCTCCGTGGTCATCATCTCCAGGGCCTCCCTGATGGTCTCCTGCACCTGTCATTACCAACACAAACATTAATGGTGGAGGCTGAGTCTCCCAGGTGTACAGGGTCAGCTGTGGCACCTGTCTCTGTGGTCATCATCTCCAGGGCCTCCCTGATGGTCTCCTGCGCCTGCCATTACCAACACAAACATTAATGGTGGAGGCTGAGTCTCCCAGGTGTACGGGGTCAGCTGTGGCACCTATCTCTGTGGTCATCATCTCCAGGGCCTCCCTGATGTTCTCCTGCACCTGTCATTACCAACACAAACATTAATGGTGGAACCTGGACTATAATGAAGCATCAGGCTCTGAGTAAAGTAACGGAAATATATAAGTAATGGTGTTTCTCTACACTGACCACAGTGTAGAGAAACACCAAGATGACAGTTGACTTTATTAATAACAATGTTTCAGGTGTTAAAGCAAAAAGTTTGTTATCTATAAAGTCAACTCTCATCATGATGTGTCTCCATGTTAAAAGTGTTTATATAGAGGCAATACTACACTCAGTTGGGTGAGAACAATGTGACCTTCAGCAGCGTACCTTCACTGAGGTGTGGACAGTCTTGACATCTGGGAAGAGTTCCTGGCACTTCTCCAGCCAATCTTCTATCTTCATCTTGTACTCATGAGCTGTGTCTATGGTTGTGTCAACCTCCTGTATGGTGTTGACTGGGTCGAGGCTCCCCAACATGGCCTCCAGCTGAGTCTTCCCTTCCTCTCCTTGTTTTGTCATATCCACCACACTGGTATCCTCCAGTTCCAAGAGCTGCATTGCTGACTTGATCTGCTCTACCAGAGAATTAAGTTTGTCCTGGAGCTGGAGGTGGTGAGTCTTCCAGTCCCCCAGCTGCCCCCGGTACTCCCCCAGCTGGGACAATACTTCTTCACAGCTAGTAATGAGGCTTTAAACCACGTTACAGTAACACTTAAAGTGGGTGAATGAGTCCAAAATAACACAAGACACACAGGGTTCTACTAACACACATTCCTAAAATTCCTATCCATAAACTAACAAAGAAAAAAGCACTAGTACAGTTAATGCACTTATCGTAACTGTACAAGACCACCCAAGTGTTGCACTGACGTCTACTGGACACTGGAGTAGTCGCCACCTGAGTGGACTACTTGGTGCCGCTCTCCACTCTGTGTGCACTCCCTTGGTTCCAATAATGTTCCACACACAACTCATATGCCAAAATTGGTCATTTGTATATCTTATAGAGTTCCAGACTGTTTTCAACATTTAACACTGCTGTTTCTATATATATATTTTCAACCAGTGAATGTCTTAAATAAGTGTTTCCTATACTATTCCATTGCTTTGGGGAAGATATATAATTATTAATAATGATAATTTTCCTTTCTAAGTCACTGTGCTTTACATGTACAGAACTGACTATTGTACTGGCAGAAATCATAAATTCATGATTGTCCTGCCCTTCAAGAAGACCTGAACAAAATAAGTGTATGAGCACCACTTGGCAAATGGAATTTAATGTGAACAAATGCCATGCTATAGAATGTGGAATAGGAGAACATAGACACCACACAACCTATAAATTATATAATTACCTAAGTGTAGTTACAGGATGAGAGCTATGCTCATGATGTCTCGTCTTCCAAGCACTCTGTCATATAACGCTTTGAAATTACTGACGCTTTTGGCCTCCACCACCTTCTCACCTAACTTGTTCCAACCGTCTACCCCAAAGTGAAAGTGAATTTTCTTATTCACTTCTAAAAAATTAGATTTTCTTCAGCACCTTTGTTTAGTTTAAATCTGTGCCCTCTTGTTCTTGAAGTTCCAGGTCTCAGGAATTTTTACCTATCAATTTTATCAATTTCCATTACTATTTTGTACGTAGTGATCATATCGCCTCTTTTTCTTGTATCTTTTAGTTTTGGAATATTTAACCCTTTAACTACACAACGTGCCTGCAGGACTACGCTTGGGGTGCACTACGCGCCTCCGGGTGTTTGTATTTTTCACGTTCGATTTAAAAGTGGCTCACGGTGACGCGGGTATGGAATGGATGGCTGGGGGCCCCAGTGATCGTCCACTATCTTGAAAAAAATTCCCAGCATGCCCCGCGGCCGTGGGGAGCCCCAGTTCCCAAACAGCAACCATGTCTGACACATCGTCAACGAGCTCCCGCTCCTCAGTGACCCGCGGTCACGGAAATTGACTCTGAGGAGGAGATTCGCGATATTTTGTACGACGACGGTGCTATGGATGATGACCTGGACTATGATCCAGAGAAAGATCTGACACAGAGGTATGATACAAGTGAGGGAGAGACGCAAGTGGATGATGTGGCGAGCATGTATGGTACACCCTCCTCACCCGGCCTGTCTCGCCGCCCTGGGTCAACACCCTTATCCTCACCACCATCATGTATGTCCCCAGACGCTAGTTTATTCAATGACAGTGCATGTGACGAATCTTTCTTGGGCTTCAGTGACATTGGCTCCGATACGAGTAGTGTGGACGACCCGAGTACTAGCAGCGGGGGTGGTACCAGGCGAGGCTTTGCTGCCTCAGCAACATGTCGAGGCAGGTGACAGCATGTCTCGCAGCATGACGACAGTGGGCCCTCAACATCAGATGTTTGTGGTAGGCCTACGGTACGAAAATTTGCCTCAGCGCCAAGCATACCCTCACGCAGCTCCAGCAGCAGCAGCAGACGACGTAGCCGTGATTTTGGTGCTCGTGGTGGTGTTGGCGCCAACACCAAACTCCCTGGTGTACTTGTGTGGGAGGATTGCGCCACATTTGTCCCTCAAATACCAACGTTTGATGATACCGATGTTGGTGTTAAAGCTATATTCCCGTATAACGGTGATGATATGGCGGACATGGAATATTTCCAGGCATATTTTGACAATGTCTTCATGAGGCATCTTGTGACCGAGACAAACATGTACGCCCACACCCTCATAGACGGCGGCATATTACCTGCCTCATGCCTCACGCGATGGAAGGATACAACAATCGACGAGATGTACGTATTTCTGGCACTATGCATGATGATGAAACACTCCGAGAAAGCTGTCGTCCAGGACTATTGGAACATAGACAGCCTTGTTCCATCACCCGTCATCAACCGATATATTTTGCAGGATAGGTTCCACTTGATTCTCAGGTGCCTGCATTTCGAGAACAATGCAAATGAGGATAGACACGACAGACTGTGGAAGGTATGCAAGGTATTTAGTGACCTGCGAGGGAAGTTCAGGGATTATTTAGTACCTGGACAGAATGTCGTTATCGACAAGTCGCTTGTACTGTTCAAGGGCAGACTGGCATTCAAGCAGTATATCCCTTCCAAGCGGAACCGTTTTGGACTGAAGTTTTTCGTGCTGTGCTACTGTGAGACTGGTATCGTCCTGGACACGATCTTTTATTCTGGTACAGACGTCGACATATATATACCAGCTCAAGATGAACACGGGTTCTCCGGCAGTGTCGTAAAAACCCTGATGGAACCGTTGCTGAACAAGGGGCATGTACTGTTGACCGACAACTATTACACCAGCCCCCTGTTGACTAGATACCTCCTTGTCCACAACACTGGCGAATGTGGCACTGTGAAGGCCCACAGGAAGGAAATGCCAGTGTTCGGTATAGGTATATACGTGGGCGAGTGCCAGATGCGCAAGTGTGACAATATGCTGTCAGTGCGGTGGAAGGACAGACGCGAGGTGAATATACTGACGACGACTCACACCCATGCCATGTTGAACAGTGGGAATGTCCATTTTCAGAAGTACAACCCCATGTATAAGCTGGACTGTGTCATAGACTATAACGTGAACATGCGCCTCGTCGATAAATGTGACATGATGCTTGGTGGTGTGGAGTGCGTGCACAGGTCTGTGAAGTGGACGGAAAAGTTTTTCTTCCACTTCATGGATGTTGCAGTGCTCAACTGCTTCAATATGTACCTAGTGAAGTCTGGCAGGAAACCGTCTATACATACCTTCAGAGCCAGCGTTGTGTCACAGCTGCTGGTAAAGTATGGCAAAGAGGGCTCCATAGTACCACGTGGGGTGCAAGCAACAATGCCACACGCAGCTCCAGACAGACTGCGGGGTAATGAGAACTTTGGGGTACACATGCTGGGGTATATGCCAGGCACAGCATCATGGGAGAAGGGTAAACGTGAGTGCATAGTATGCAGGAATACTACACGCAGATCACAAAAGCGAAGATACATCGGCACCTGGTGCGTGGAGTGCAAGGTGCCACTCTGCCCCGTTGGCTGTTTCACAGCATATCACACACTTGCGGAGTACTGAGTGTGTGTATATATTGTGTGATACTGTACAGTGTGTATATATAATGTAAATATAAATATATCAGCGTGATAAATTGGAAATAAGTGCAGGATAAGTGTACTTGTTTGTGATACACGTAACACAGTGTCTACAGACAGTACGGATGTTCTACTGCCATAATATAGTGTACGTGTTCACCATACACTGGATCGGCACGTAAAATCTAAAACATTGTATTTGGAACTGTGCGCAAAAAATGAGCAAAATTATATTCGCAGCAGCATGCACATCCCGCCCTGGGCGCCCCACTGGCCCCAGGAGCTTATGGCATGCGCACGGGGAATGATGACGTCACGTGCCACCTTACGGACCCCATAGCAGCCAAAGTAAGTACAATTTCGACATTCCGTTGCTATACCCATATACTGGGAGGGGTTTTTGACACTTTTAGAACAAAAAAGAAGTTTCTTCTGAGAATTTTTTTCTTGCGCATTAGGGGATCATATTTGTAGGCCGCACAGTTAAGGGGTTAATGCCTCTAACCACTCCCTGTAGCTCTTGTCCTTCAGTTCTGGGAGCCATTTAGTTGCATGTCTTTGCACCTTTTCCAGTTGATGTGCTTCTTAAGATAGGGGCACCATACAACCACCTCTTTTATACCGATCTGCCGGTAATAACGACCGGTTTGGGAGATTGGTATCTGCAGCCTCAGATACCATTCTGGTGGTCGATATTACCGACGGTCAGTATTAGGTTTGTTTTGGCATCGGCAGCCCCTCACATGGCGACCAGGCCACCGACCTCGATCATCCAGAGTGGTATATTAAATCTTAACTTTCTTTTAAAATGATTTAGTTCTATGAAGAAAATTCTAAATTATTATTAATAAAATATTTTAAAACAATTGTTATTAAGCAAAATTCTTTGTTTTCTTATTAAATACCTTTTATAGTATAGGCAATAGGTATTTTTTTTCCCACGGACCTAGAATGTACTGCGCCTGGCCATGTGACCGCATTGTTTACTGTGAACTCGCATGGCTGAGAACAATGTCTCAGAATATTAGCCAGAGAAAATCAGATTCAGAAAAAAATAGATAAATTCATGATTTCAACGATTCGTAAAAGCACCCACTGGGAATTCAACAAGTCATGCAGCATCTGCTGGCAACGAGTGCCCTACAAGCCATGCTGCACCCCCCCGATGCTGAATTCCCATCAACAAGTCGTGTAGCCTTCGCCGGCAACGAATGCTCTTCAAGGTATGCTGCACCCGCCAATGCTGAATTCCCATCGACAAGTTGTGCAGCCTCTGCCGGCAACGAATGCTCTGCAAGCTATGCTGCACCCGCCGATGCTGAATTCCCATCGACAATTCATGGAGCATCCGCCGGCAACGAATGCTCTGCAAGCCATGTTGCACTCGCCGATGCTGAATTCCCATCAAAAGTCGTGTAGCCTCCACTAACGATATAAAATATGATTGAAAGGCATATCAATTAGTGTAAGAAGTGTTGATAGAGTACAGTATTGTAAGTGTTAATGATTATTTAAGCTTTGACGAAAAGATACTGTACAGTGTAAATATACAGTAGAAATAATTTTCAATTGTGAATTAGAA